GGGGTGCCCGCCCCCTATAGCAAAAAAAATTCTAAAAAAAAAAAAAAAAAAAAAAAGAACCTCAACTACCAGGACAATATCTGGGCTTTGAAGGAAGAGGGATGTACACAAGTCATAGTGGCCATAGCTGGTGGCTCTTTAGGGAAGAGATTAAGTCCAGCAATATCATCATTGTCAACCAGTTCACAGACAGGGCCACCATAAGACCTCAGACCTACGATGGAAGTCATCCCTGTGCCAGAGGAGCGTGCCATATTCCTATGGCCACACCAGTTTGTCCCAAGATGAGAGAGGTCCTCACTGATACTGCTAAGAAACTAGGACTCCATTGCCACTCAAAGGGGACAATGAGTTCAATTGAAGGACCTCATTTTAGCTCCTGGGTGAGAAAGCTTCATGTTTCACACCTAAGGGGTGGATGTTATCAATATGACCACAATTGCAGAAGTGATTCTTGCTAAGGAGGCTAGACTATGCTATGTGAGTATCATCATGGCAACAGATCATGATTTATGGAAGAAACATAAAGAAGTGGTTTCAGTGAACCAAGTCTTACAGATCCTGAAAGAAAATGCCATAAAGCCAAAAGTTTACTCCTCACCATCATCCCCCTGATAGGGTCTATGGGATAGTCAGAAATCCTCCATAACCTGAAGAATAAATATAGCCCAGTTTTCTGTTGTATTACCAAGACATTAAAGTAGTAGAAAAGAAGGCACTCTAACTCCAGTTATTTCTGAGAATACCTGCTTACCTTGATAAAAACCTGGGAAAGGCATGCGGCTTTCGTGCCCTTGCCTGTGAAAGAAGGACATGTGCTAACAAATAAGACACTGTGTGTAGCGGAGACTCCTCCGTGAAGACTTGAGCTACTTCAAAACCCACAAGAAAAGCAAATGACCGAGCAAATGTGGAAAAACAAGCTTACATTTTAGGAAAAATACAAGAAGAGATCATCCTATCCTTTCCCTATTAAATTGCCAACAATGAGATATGGAGGGTAATACCCATTTTCCTACATTGCCAAGGAATAGAAGGAAGAAATGGGGATCTGGCGTTTCATTGATGTGACAGTAAATTGGTACTCTCTTTCTGGAGGGCAGTTTGGTACAGTGGACCAAAAAGCTTAAAAATACTTGTGCATTTTGTGTGGGTACTCCACTACTAGGGACGTCTCTTGTAAAAATGATCAGAGATACGTACAAAGCATTGGGTATAAAGGAGTTTAACAAGGCTAGTTATAATAGCAAATGTCTAAGACAATCGGAATGTCTAACAGTTGGAGTAAAGATGATTCAGTTATAATTGCATTGTGAAACAGCCAGCTGAAGGTTATGTTTTTATAATATTTAACGTCCTAAAGAAACGGTTATTGTATGGCTTAAAACTCACGCCGGGCACGTGTGCGTGCGTGCCCAAGATCCCGAGAGGAGAATGGAGGAGAAGGGATTGCGGCGTGACCATCCCCCCTGGGGGGTGATTTCTCGCTTTCTGTCTCTATGTCTCTCTCTGTCTGTCTGGCGAGCGCACGTGCCCTACAGTGAAAATCTCTCCAAAAAAAAAAAAAAAAAGAAACGGTTATTGTATAATATAATGTGAAACAGAAGGGTTTGTAAGTATTTTACAGTACTAATTTGTTTTTAAATGCAATGTAAACATACAAAAGCCTAGAAATATATCTATAATCATTTGTTATTACATTTGGTAGAGGGATACTGGATAATTTTTATTTTCTTTAAATCTTGTATCTTCACATACTTTTCTACAATGCATAATGAAATAGTGAAGTTGTCATAAAAGCTTGGTTCCCAGTTCTTGAGATCTATTTCTGGTAACAAAACAAAATTTAAGATGGTAATATTAAGAGTGTTGCTTAAGGAAGTTACATCCTTACTCTGCAAAAAATAAAAGGGGGGGTCATTGATAACTACACAGTCAGAGCAATATTACTACTGAGTTTGCAACGACTTTCTGAGAAAAGCTGTGTGTTTAACTGAGGTGGTCTAAAAAGCTGAACTGTTTAAGAGAATAAATACAGACATTACATATATTTTAATTTTTAATATTTGATTTTTTTCTACTCCTTTGTATGAGTTGATGCATTATTTTACAAGTTGGTAATTTTTTTAATAAAATAAAAATGGAAGCTTGCTTTTTTAAAAAAGTAAGCTGCATAAGTTGTTAATATTATATTCTACATATAGAAGGAAAAAAGTATAATGCTGGAGATATACAGTTTGGAGACTTCTGTGTTTTCCACTTAAGGTACCAAATAGACCATATGCCTGGAACATGGAGTGTGTCATGGCAGCTAAACCTGGAAACGTAAGCAGCAGTCAGTCAGACCTGTGACGGGCCCGGTCTCTCTGAGTGCCTACTGTTGATGTGTGGGACAACCCCCACAGGCATCTCCTAAAGAGCTAAACCTCCTGACCACAGAATCCTGTGCTGTGAACCTTTCAAGAATATGGATTGTAAAAGATCTGTGGTGACAGCTATGTGACAACCAGATGTCCTTGCTGTCTTTGTAAGGCTCTTTTTGGAGTTCTGGGCACCTGGCAAGAACCAGATGGTCAAGGGCAAATGGCAGGCACGTGTTCCACTAAAGGGCAGAGCAGGAGCCTGAGTCAGAGGATTCTGGGGCAAGCGTGTGGTTTTATGGTTGGAAGGCAGTTGATCTGTAGGAGTGGTGTGAGACTGCACAGATGCTGGGGCTTCTGTGGGACTTTATCAGGCTGGGCATCTGTGCCTTTCTGGCCTTTGCAGCTCTGCCTTGAGAGAAGTTTTTCACTTGGTTCTAGGGCCCAAGGTCATCCTTTGGGTGATAACATAAAAACGCATTAAAGGTCCTTAGCCCAGTGGTATGGCACCAAAATAAAGCAGATTAAAATGGATTGCTCCTTGATTACAGATTGCTTGTTTATGGTCCTTCCATGATTGCCTGATTCTCTTTTTCTTTTTCTTTTTTTTTTTTGGAGAGGTTTTTGCTATAGGGTGCGTGGGCTCACCAGGAAGACAGAAACAGAGAGACACAAACCAAGAAATCACCCCCCAGGGGTGATGGCCACACCACAATCCTTTCTCCTCCGTTCTCCTCTCAGGATCTTGGGCATGCACGCACGCACACACACTGGCATGAGTTTCATTCCACTAGGTCCGGGACTCAAACTGTGGTCAACTACATGGGAGACCAGCAACATAGCCATTATGCCAACTGCTGGTCCCTGTGATTGCCTGATTCTAACACACACAATGAGCCATTTGAGCTCATTCACTCAATAAAAACATCTGAGTGCCTGTTTGTACCTCTGCCTTCATGAAATAATACATCCAATGCTGTGTTGCTTAATACTGTTTTATATAGGTATAGATAGTCTCTCTCTCTCTCCCCACATACACACACACACACACACACATACAAAAAAAAATGAGGAGTAATACACAATGAGATCTATGATTACAGGTGAATTCTTTGGGAAATAGCCAAAAACAGAACTTAATAAATTATGTTTGAGCTGCAAAAGTAAATGATTTCAAGAAGACCCTGAGCCTTCAGACCTAAGCAATAGACCTGAAAGAGAAGCCAGCCCATGGAGTGCATGGGAAGAGAACACAAAACTGCTTTGGATGGGAGGTTCTGGGGTGTCTATGAGATGTCTGTGAGGTGTCTGGCACACAGAAACTATTTGGGTGTCATCTCATCCTGGTGGTGGCCAAAGCTGGGGGGTGGAGAAAATTTCTACAAGAAAAGAACCACCCAAACTTGAAGGACAGATGAAAGAAAAGGAGCCAGTAAAGATGGTATGTATTAAAACAAAGTAACTAGGTTGCTGACGGTCAAATAAGACGCTTATATAATAAATGAAAAATGATCACAGCTTTGAATCAGAATGAGCCCCAGAAATTTTCCAGCTAGAAAGCATCTTGGGCTCAACCTTCAGCATAACTAATCAGTTGTGAAAACAGCTCAGACAGACTGAGATGACACTGTCATACTGTCAGTGCCCCTCATAATTATCACCTCATCTATCAAAATATTTCCTGGACCAACAGATGGTGCAATGGTTACGTTGCTGGACTCCCACATAGTCAACCACAGTTTGAGTCTTGGACCCAGCAGCTTAAAATTCAGGCCAGGCATGTCAGCCCAATACCTAGCAAACTGAGAATCCATGTGCATCTGAGGTGGTCCAGCCCTAGCCCTTTAACTGAAAAGCCTCTGCCTCAAAGCTCTTCCTCCAACACCTAGTGAACTGAGAAATCTGAATTCAAATCTCTTTCTGTGGATACCACATTGCAAAACACAGTAGTAGAGGAGAAATAGGCACGGAAGTACCTCACAGTAAAGTGAAGCATACTAGCATACAGTACCAGAAATCTCCAACAAATTAGCCAAACATGAACATACCACCAAATGACTAAAAATCAGAGAAGAGGGACCACAAAGTGAGCAGCAGGGAGACATACGGAGCTGCAGAGAGTGCGGCTCATCTCCTCCCCCACACTGCTATTAGCTCAGTTCAAGTGTTTCTGTTCCCTAGAAACTGAGAGACCTTCGTAATATTCAGTTCCATCAGTAAAAGTGCAGGTGGCTCAGTGAGGATGAGAGAAGTGGAACTGCAGAAATATTGCAGGTCGTCTCCTCCCGTACACCTCTAACACTCCAAATTAACTCCAAGAAAGTAGGAAATAACATATGATCTATCAGAAGACCAGAAACCACCTCAGAGGCAGAAGACCTATGGGAAATCAAGAAAATATCTCTCCCCCAAGGGGAAAGAACAGCCCTTTATCATCCACAGACAGTACAATGGAACTTGTGGAAATGTTAGATAGAGAATTTAGAATATTCATAGTGACAAATAATTTAGACTATTCATAATATTCATTACAGAGATGCAAGAGAAGAAAGACAACGAGCTCCAGAAAATGTAGGAGAAAAGAGAAGAGTTCCAGGAGATGAGCAAGTTCTTGCACGATCTAAAAGAGGAAATACACACTATAAAAAAGAATCAAACAGAACTGTTAGAGATGAAGGGTGTAATACAGGAAATCAAAACCTCCCTTGAAAATATTAACATCTGATTAAATCATGCAGAAGATCAAATCTCAGATGTAGAAGACAGAACTTCTGACCTAGAAAAAGTCATGGGAACCAGCAGTTAGTGTAATGGCTATGTCGCTGGACTCTCACGTAGTTGACCGCGGTTCGAGTCCCGGACCCGGTGGCTTAAAACTCACGCCAGGCGCATGTGCGTGCGTGCCCAAGATCCCGAGAGGAGAATGGAGGAGAAGGAATTGCGGCATGACCATCCCCCCTGGGGGGGTGATTTCTCGCTTTCTGTCTCTCTGTCTCTCTCTGTCTGGCGAGCACACGCGCCCTATAGCGAAAACCTCTCCAAAAAAAAAAATCACCAAAAAGATTGAGAAAATAAACCCCCCAAAATGAGAATAATATATAAGTGATACTAAATACTGTTAGATGCCCAAACATTCAGAAAATCGGTATCCCAGGAGGTAAAGAAACTAATTAGGGCATTGATAATCTATTCCATGAAATCCTGAAAGAAAAGTTTCCAAACCTAGAGAGGCATTCAAAGATTCAGACCCAAGAAATACAAAGGACCCCATATAGAATCAATCCCAGAAGATCTCCAAGGCACATCATTAGCCAGACTGACCAAAATCACAGACAGAGACAAGATACTAAAATTGGCAAAAGAGAAATGTCAAATTACTTTCAAAGGATATCCCATCAGGCTAATATTGGACCTCTTGTTGGAAACAATACAAGCAAGGAAAGAATGGGAAAATATATTCCAAGTGTTAAGGGAAAAGCAATTTCAACCAAGAATACTATATCCAGCAAGATTATCCTTCATATTTGAAGAAAAGCTTGAAACATTCTCAGATAAACAACACATGAAAGAATTTATCAACACCAAACCAGCTCTTTGAGAAGTTCTGAAGGAAAACTAAAAGACAGTTGGACAGAAATAAGAGAACAAAAAATGACCAAGAAAAGGGCCAATTTAATGATAGGGACAAGTTCAGAAATATCAATAATAATGTTGAATGTTAACTTTCAGGATTTAAATGGAAAGATCAGACCACAGTAACACTCTAAATTCAACAAAAGAGAGATTACATGAGAGTGACCTGGTGAAATGGAATTCTATGACTTTTGTCTAAAACATTGCTGATTTTTTTTTTTCCTCATGTAGGCCACAGAATAGTAGTGGACTGTATACTAAGTGATATAGCCCACTGTGGAGTGTGGTCCTTAATCTCCCAAATAGCTCAAGGTGGTAAAGGTTATCAGAAAAACCTTCCCCCCAAACACTTTACTTTTGGTATAAAACATTACTGATTTTCTTCTATTCTTTGTCTTCCAGATTTAAGGATCTTGGTTTTCTTTTTGATAGGTTCAGAACTTTTGTTTAAAAAATTTTTTTTAATTGAAACATAAATTTTCTCTCTCCCTGACCCCTTTGGAATTGGAAAATATTTGTAAGCATTCTTTTGTGGCAGAATCATTGTTTACATAAATTCAATAATACAATAGTATCTATTGCCTTGTATCAGAAATTGAATTCTTATGGGGATTTATGCAAATAACAGACAAAATTGAGATTAACTTAATTGTTTTTTGCAAGTAAGTTAGTTTATACCTCTCTTTTAGTAAAAGGGGGAATGGAGAAAGGAAGAAAATGTCTCAGAAGAAAATTACAATGCACTTGTCACTAGATTCTAGCTTTGTCCATATTTTAGTTTAAGATCTTTTGTAAATCAATAAAATGTGAAAAAAAGTTCAGTATGGAAGAGAGGGAGGGGATATGGGAAGGATAAAACAAGTAAAGGTATGCTTAATTGACAAATAAGTGAGAAGCTATTTGCTGATGACAATGTATATAGTAATATCTTTGTCTTGACTGACATGCATGGTATTTGTGTAATTTATGTTGGAAAAAGAAATGTTGTACACTGTAAAGACATGTGATTAAATGAAAACAAAACAAAACAAAACAAAACAAAAACCCTCACGCCAGGCACATATGCATGCAAGCCCAAGATCCTGAAAGGAGAATGGATCAAACCACAGTAACACTGCAAAGGGATTGCAGCATGGCCATCCCCCAGGAGATGATTTCTCATTTTCTGTCTCTCTCTGTTTCTCTGGCGAATACATGTGCCCTATGACAAAATTTCTTAGGAAAAAAAAAAGGTATTTCCTACAGAAAACAGAGATCATTGGACCAGAAGGTGGCATGGAAGGTAAGGAGCTTGATCCCATATGGCTGACTGTGTGACTGGAGTCCTGGACTGAACAGCTTGAAAACCATGTTGGGCATGTGTGCATGCATGCCCAAAATACTGAGAGGAGAATGGAAGAGAGGCCATTCCCCTGGGGGATGATTTCTCACTTTCCCTCTATACCTCACTCTTTCTGGCAAACAGATGCACCCTATAGCAAAACAAACAAAAACAGAGATCTTCCTATTTTAATATCAGTCTATATAGTCCCTCTTCAGTTTTCTAGAAGCATGAAGAATAACTAACCTCCTTAACCACAAAAATCCTACTTACTCATAAAATTTTGATCAAGACCATTTTTATCTTTAGCTAAAAGTGCCTAATGCTTGGATGACAATAAGGAAGGAATCACTTGCCCTAGGTAGACCACTGAGATTTGTATTTTATATATAGTTTATATATAGTCATGAGCCACATAATGACCTTTGGTCAATGGCAGACTGCATACATGGCAGTGGTGGCAGTGGACTAACATACAGCCTAGGTGTGAAGTATGCTATGCAATCCAGGTTTGTGTAAGTGCACTCTATGATGCCCCCATGACAACAAAATCTACAACAATGCTTGTCTCAGAACATATCCTGTTGCTAAGCTACGCATGACTCTAATAATTCTATGGTTTGAATGTGTATATGTGTCCCTCCAAAATTCATGTGTTGGGACTTAAGCCCCAGTATGATCATTTTAAGAGGAGAAGCCTTTAGAAGGTGATTACATCATGAGTGTGCAGCCCTAAAAATGATAGATTAGTAACCTAATAAGGAGGAGGGAATTATTAGGTTGTCAGAAAAGTCATGAGGTATTTCGTCTATGCTTTTCCATGCAAAAATGCATCATGACTTTTCCCACAACCCAATAGTAGCCCTGTGGTCTCTTAGGCTGTGTGAGAATGCAGCAAAAGTGCAAGCCCTCCCCAGACACCAAGCCTGCCAGTCCTGGATCAAGGACTTCCCAGCATCCAGAACTCTGAGAAATAAATGTCCACTGTTAATAAATTACCCAGTCTCAGAAATAGTAGTCTCTTTTATCTGAAGTTTTTCTTTCTGCAGCTTCAGTTACCTGTGATAATCCATGGTTGAAATATATTAAATGGAAAATTCCAAACATAAGCAATTCATAAGTTTTAAATTGCATGCCATTCTGAGGAGCACGATAAAATCTCACACTGTCCTACTCCGTCCTTCCCAGCACCTGAATCACTCCTTTACCCAGCACACCCATGCTGTATGTGCTACCCACCATTCATCACTAGTAGCCGTCTCAGTTACCAGGTCAGCTGTCACATTATCACAGCGCTTTCACTTATTGGCCCCAAAGTACAAGCGTGTTGATGCTGGTGTGTAGCTACAAGTGTTCTATTTTATTAGTAGATATTTCTGTTGATCTCTTATTGTGCCTAATTTATAAATTAAATGTTGTAAGTTTGTATAGGAAAAGACACAGTGTGAAGAGGGTTTGGTACTGTCTGTGATTTCAGACATCTACTGCGGGTTCTGGAAAACATCCCAGTGGATAAGCAGGAACCACTGTATTTTGTTATAGTAGCAGGGATACATGAAAACAATTAGAATGAAGATTCTACATGAATTTCTGTAAGAAACACAGAAATCTGGTAAGCAGAATGTCCTGAATGCCAAATACTACATTTTGAAGGCAGAATTTAGGCCTGGTAACAAATATGTTTTGTAAAGAACTTAATGGACTGTTTACCTCTTGCCTCTGCCTATATCCCTCAGAAAACACACACACACAAGCACACCAGCAATAGATATAGAGTATTTCTAGAGAAATTTAACACTTAAAACAAAAAACTTCAAGAATACCCCCAAATTATGCTATTTCCCATTCTAAAATTTATAGGTTATAATTCTGTTTAACATTTATGAAGCTTATTTCTATTACTGTAGATTTCTGGCCAATTTTCCCAATCCCTGTGCTAATGGAAGCCTTAATACATATTTTATCTCAGTAGTTAACCATCTCACTGTGTACAGATCATCTCTATAAAATGAAGAGTCATATTGTGCTATAGTGATTTTTTGAAGAAGAATTATAGTAGTTCTGAAATGAGGCCTACAAACTATCCCAGGTTAGAAATATTGACTTCAAGAACATTCTGGCAATTACAAAATAAGAAATGTGAAATCCTGACATACTATTGTTTATAGCAAAAATAACTGATTAAAAACTCAGAATAAAAATTTGATTTCTTGGGCCAGCCCAAAGTGTGATGGTTAAAACAGCTAGATACCGCATGGCAAATTGTGAGGTTCAAGGCCCGCCCAGATGGAGCAGCTTGAGAAACATGCCAGGCATGCATGCCCTAAATCCCAAAAGGAGAGGAAAATGGAGGAGAAAGGGTTGTGGTATGACTATTCCCGAGGGGAGATGCTTTCTCACCTTCTCTCTCTCTCTCTTCACTGAGTGCACATGCACTCTGGAAAAAAAAAATTAATGGACCTATCTGTATGGAAAACAAGCTTACTTTGTGTTTGAAAGCTAGTCCATGTCACAATAAAATCATTGTTATATATGACATAAAGACCTTACTTATTTTTTAAATGAATTTTCAGGACTTGGTTGCTATGTAAACTTTGAAAATTAATATATTCATTATTCCTTAGGGGCCCCTGAAAGTATAAGGTCTGAAGACTTAATGACTACTTTCTACCAGAGTCAAGTTTAGTAATTTTAACTCCCTGAGGCTCCCATGCCAAGTCCTACCTCTTGCTATGTTAATAAAGTCTTTTTGTTTTGGGAGCGGTTTTTGCTATAGGGCACGTGCACTCACCAGAAAGACAGAGAGAGACAGAGAGACAGAAAGGAAGAAATCACCCCCCAGAGGGGATGGCCACGCCACAATCCCTTCTCCTCCATTCTCCTCTCAGGATCTTGGGCACGCACTCACATGAACCTGGCGTGCGTTTAAGACACCTGGTCTGGGACTCAAACTGCGGTTGACTACATGGGAGTCTAGCGACATAGCCATTATGCCAACTGCTGGGTCCCATAGTCTTTAAAGTTTCTGTCTCTCTATGACTAAATGGAAGCTTTTTCCAATTTCTAGTTTTGTAAAATTGTGGGTTGGGAATGTTTTCAAAAAAATAATTTAAAAATGGTTTTATACTTAATGGTTTTATACATTTCCCAGCAGAAATGTTCAGCTTCCCACACTTAAATGTCAGTTTCTATCATGAGTAGTGCTACTATTTTTGCAGTCTCTCTCTCTCTCTCACACACACACACACACACGCACATGCACATGCACACGACTTACTCGATTCACTGCGAAGATGATCTGATCGTAGACGTCACTTTGCGTGTACACTGCATACGTGTCATCCATTCGGTCCACATATCCTTTTAGAAAGAGATGTTTGAATGCTATAGTATTCTCTTCCTTGAAAGCCACCACCATCTGGTTACTCAGTCCAAAAAAGACAAGCTTTAAGAAAAGAAAAGATAAGATGGTAAAAAATGTGAGCAGAAAAAAAGTGGAGGCACATGGGGTGCAGAGGCTTGAAAGGTAAGAAGAGTTTAATGTGAATTCTGTAGGACATCAAGACATCCAGGTTTGCAGCAGGTAAATAATACACTGTAACAAAGCCCAAGTCCTATGACCAAACTATATTCCTCGGTCTGATTACCATAACTGTAACACTAAGACCAAAAATAGAAATAGCCTTTCAATTCCTCTCTAAATTAAAGTATATTAACATAATGTGTCCTTAACATTCATGCAGGATTGATTCCAGAGGCTTTTTTTTTTTTAAGCTCCTCCATCTGTTTCTTCCATGACGGAGGGAGAGAGCGAGAGCGAGGGTATGCTCAACTCAGTCTTGATGCTACGATCCATCCCCAGCCCGAGCCAGCCCTGGATCAGCAGCACACGTGTACCTGATGTACTCATGGTGGTCTTGGGCTGTGAACCCTGAACTTTCCATGTGAGTCAGCCTCGCCAAGCACTGCACTTTACCACTGCACCACTGTCTGCCCCAACCCAGAATTTTACACGAACTCAGTTGTTCACACACAAAAACTTGTTTCACTGTGCAGTTGTCACGTTCATGTAAGTCCTTTCAAATAGTCCCCCAAACTTACTTTACTCCAGGTTCTCTTTCATCTTCTCCCTCTCAAGCCTGTCTGTTTCTCTCTCTCCTCCCTGGCCCCACTACCTATGCCCTGAGTTTAAAAAGTACACTTAAACTTAGATCCCAGAGTCAGGCAGGGAGTGTTTCATGTGGGATAACAAAGATCACCTGTGTACATACATAGTTCTAGAACTTTTCTCATACGAATCCTGCACTATGGTTCCCAATATAACAACTTCAAGGTGAGTATGTATTGGCTCAGAGAGGCTAAATAATTCTTTCGAGTCATTTCACGAGCAGGTACGTAGTCCAAATTGGACCCCATGTCTGTCAGACGACACCCAAGCTCCAGCTATTCCATCTTGCTACACGAAGTAATCCAGGTTCTGATCAGGAAAAATACAGCAAGTAGCCATATCTTTTTTGCTCTCCCCTCTGTTAGTGATGTATGGCATGTACCCTGCACATGTCATCACTTCGCTCTCATTCCACAAGAGCTTCCTTACATTTATATCCTCAGTTAAATACCAGTAAGACGATAGCTTGATATTCTAAAGGTTTTACATTTATTGAAGCTGACAACAAAAAGGCTCTAAGGAATTCCAAGATATTCTTACCAATTCATTCAAATACATGGGTACCTCCCAGGTGGCAGCACTGAGAGAGGGACTGAGGATACGATGAGGAGACACTCAGTCAGGCCCACTGCAGACAGAAGCAACACTGGCTAAGCGAGACCTGCTAAAACCAGAGACAGAACCAGCCAGTGGGGAGAGGGAAGTGTCTAGCAGGGCGCTTATCATTGTGGATCTCTTTCTTTCACTGCTACAGACACGAGATCTCCAACATAACAGAAACTCCCTTCTTGGACCAGCAGGTGGCATGGAGGTTAAGGTGGCTGGACTCCACAGGGCCAGCTATATGGTTTGAGTACTGGACCCAACTGATGCAGGGGTCCAGGAGATAGGCGTAAGATCTCCGGCAAGGTAGATAGCGTTAGAAGTCCACAGAATTAAGAATGCGAGACAAGATGGAGTCACTATAGTCAAGTGTTTAACTAAAAATCCTTTGCTGCTCTCGCTAGAAATCAATTATTAGCCTCACTGCTGGCTTACACAGAAACCCGCTTGCAGCCTGCTTGAGGTAATAACAACCAAAGCTAACTTTTCATATCATTACTACATTCCAAGCCAAGAGGGCAGGAGAAGAAAAGGCCTGAAACAATACACTCTTCTTTCATAGGCTATGACTACTTGCTGACTAGGCTAGAAATAAACAAATTAGCTACAGTCTTGAAAACACTGTCCAGCTCAAAGACCAATTGGCCCAAAACTCCCTGTAATGTTTGGCTATTGGGAATCATTTTCTAAATTTCTGAAGAGAAAAAGAGCAGTCCATAAGAACCCACATAAGAAAAAGACAAAGGGGTGAAAAAAAAAAAAAAAAAAGAGGCTCTGTGGCCTGAGGACACAGGAAGCTGGGAACTCCCTCTGACACCCAGTCTGGTGGTCAGGGAGAACTTTTCACTTTAGAGCCTTCTAGAGTCCCAGAGAACAGCCCTGGGGAAAATGCTTTTAATTATTTGGAGGCATTTAGTTTGTCCACATGACAGTTGGAGTCTCTAGTCCCAGGACCCTGTAGGCTTACAGCATAGACAAGAGTGGCTTAACTCTCTTTAATGTATCATTCAGGGTTACATGTCACAGGGATGGAGAATGTCCTGTGGAGGAACACTCCCTTGTCAGCAAATGAAAGAAAAACCTGAAAGAGAAGAAAGAAAAGAATCTGCTTAGACACCCAGACAGGCTGTGAGGGATGGCTTCCAATTTCTAGGGCCAGAGCCAGTAGGTGGCATAGTTAAGATGCTGAACTCCCACATGGCTGACCGTAGTTCGAGTACTGGACCCAGTGGCTTAAAACATGCTGAGCGTGTGTGCCCAGAATCCTAAGGGAAGAATGGAGGAGAAGAGATTGTAGCATGGCCACCCCTCTTGGGCCGGGGTGGGGGTGGTGGAGGCAGTGAACTCTCTCAAAAAAAAGTTTCTAGGGCCTTTCGGATACACTAGAGAATGACCCTGGCATGTACCGTCAATTGCCAGAATTGACAGGTAAGATTTTAGAGAGGGGGGTCAGCAGGTGTCGTGGTGGTTGAGGGTGCTGGACTCCCATATGGCTGAACACAATTTGAGTCCTGGACCCAGTGGCTCTCACTTTCTCTCTCTCACTCTATCCCACTTTGGTCAAATTACAATAAAATTAAATAGATAAATTAAATAAATAAAGTTAAAATAAAATATAATTGAAAAAAAATTTAGAAAGGAAACTGAGGTTACAAAAGAGCCAACGTTCCCAACACTTATTTTTTTTTTAAGAACTCTTTTATTAGACCCCAAAGAAGCTCAGACAGAAGTCATTTAATCTGAGATGTCTCCTGTCGTGTTCAGGGACCAAAACAACTGAATCTTTTCTTTAAATCCCATCTCCAGACCCCCAAAAAACTCGGACAGGTAGTGCAACCTCCATCTTCTCTCTGTCTCTCTTTAAATTTTTTCTTTTTTTTCTTAATTTTTAAAACGCTTCTCATCTCTGACTCTTTCTCTTGCTAATTTCAGAAGCCATTTAAATCTGAGGTGTGTCTGCTGCTCGGTTTTTATTTTTTGCTCTTTAAATTTTTTTTTCCTCTTTTGGTGTTTTCTCTCTTTGTTTCCTTTTCTTTCTTTCTTTCTTTCTTTTTTTACTTTACTTTCTCACCCTGCTGTTCAGCCTCCACAAACTGAGTGTCTAGACAGGCCTAGGTGCACAGGAGCCAAACATCTAAATACTTTTAGGGTCATAGAAACCTCAGCCCTTACTGAACCTGATGCCTGAAGGCAGAAACCCTCTTTATATATCTGAACTCACATCTCTTTCTGTGGGTACCATATTGCAAAACACAATAGAGGAGAGAAATTGCCTCAGAAGCACTTTATAGTAATGGGAACCACATGATCCTACAGTTGCAGAAATCTTCTCAAAGCAATTAGCCAAAAGTAAATACATCAACAAATGACTAAAATTCAGAGAAGAGAGACCGCAGAGTGAGCAGCAGGGAGAAGTATGGAGCTGTAGAAAGCACGACTCATTTTCTCCCACATAGCTCTGAACTCTTAAGTTGAAACCCCACAGTTCAGCCCAGGCTCACCTATCCCCTAGAAACTGCGAGGCCTTTGTAATATCTAGTTCCAAAGTCAAAAGTGCAGGTTGCCTGGTGAGCATCAGAAAAACGGAACTGCATGGAGCCCGGCGCGGAAGCGGAAGCGGGATTGGAGATCTGCTTCAAGCTCAGACTTCGGCCCCACGTGTGCGAGTTGATACGATGGAAGTAAAAGCGAAAAAACAATTAACAGGACGGAATACAAAGGCATCGCAAGAAAAAAAGAGATTCCGTAAAAACAGTGACTCTGGTTCTTCAAAGACATTCCCAAGAAAAGTTGTTAAGGAAGGTGGACCTAAAATCACATCAAAGAACTTTGAGAAAAGTGCCACAAAACCTGGGAAAAAAGGGTGTAAAGCAGTTCAAGAATAAGCAGCAAGGGGACAAAGCACCTAAGAATAAATTCCAGCAGGCAAATAAATTCAACAAGAAGAGAAAGTTCCAGTCAGAGTCAAAGTGATGACTCAGCAGCCAAGAAACCCAAATGGGATGATTTCAAAAAGAAGAAAGAACTGAAGCAGAGCAGGCAACTTAATGATAAAACCAACTATGACACTGTCGCTCGGTCCAAGCAGATCTGGGAGATTTTAAGAAGGAAAGACTGTGACAAAGAAAAAAGAGTGAAGTTGATGAATGACTTAGAAAAAAATGATTCAAGGAAAAATTAAAACTATTGCATTTGCACACGATTCAACACGGGTGATCCAGTGTTACATTCAATATGGTAATGAAGAACAGAGAAAACAGGCCTTCGAAGAACTGCGAGGTGATTTGGTTGAATTAAGCAAAGCCAAATATTCCAGAAATATTGTTAAGAAATTTCTCATGTATGGAAGTAAACCACAGATTGCAGAGATAATCAGAAGCTTTAAAGGCCACGTGCGGAAGATGCTGCGACACGCAGAAGCATCGGCCATCGTGGAGTACGCCTACGGCAAAGCTTGAAAAATTAGAGCTCATTATGAATAAAATGAAGCAGATTCTAACTCCAATGGCCCAGAAGGAAGCTGTGATTAAGCACTCACTGGTACATAAAGTATTCTTAGACGTCTTTACCTATGCACCCCCAAAACTCAGATCAGAACTGATTGAAGCCATCTGTGAAGCAGTGATATACCTGGCACATACACACGATGGCGCCAGAGTGGCCATGTGCTGCCT